GGAGCAATTTGTTCTGATGTCCAACAGGGGTTGGGGACCCCAGAATAATAATTTTCTCATTACTGGTGGCCAGTGCGGGCTAAGTGCGCAGGGAGGTGGGCTGTCTGTGTCTGGCGATGCCTTCATAGGGCCTGGGCCAATGTGAAGATGTGAGAAATTGGTATATGGCGTGTTTGAGCCAGAATCTCGAATCATTCGCCAGCTCTGCATTGCGAACACAACGAATTCCAAAACAGCTGATTCGATCTGTGAAGTCTGGAGGCACTCCCTTAAAAAAATATTCTGCGGTAGGCAGAGGTTCGTCTGGATTATTATTCCATGGTACCCCCTGGTCTAGTTTCTCCATAGTCAAAATAGATTATTCCAGGTCAATTTTTTTTAAACTATTCCCAGAAAATTATTCCTGGGGGTTACCCGGACCATGGAATAGTTATTTAAGGGACAGGCCATACAAATAGTCTGATTCCTTTGAAGCACTCAGGAGTTCAGACCAGTTGAATCATGTTGAATCCTGCTTATTCCTGAATCCGTAGCGAGGGGTTCTCGTTTAACTCTGGGGGTCTGGGGGTAGAGCCTTGTTCGCGACTGGTTGCCTGAGCGACCGCAACCGTTATCAACCGTTCGCAGCCGACCGCAGCCGTCCGCGGTAGGGCGCTATGGCGCTGACATTGGGCGAAGATTTTGGGAAGCATGACGTGTCACATTCGTGTGAAATAGCAAGGAAACGGGTGTAAACGTGAGATGTTGAAGTGTGGACGCGTGACTTTTGGAGGAAGTCTCGTGCGAAACGCTCGTTTAGGAAACTTGACGAGTGAATTTTGGAAGATGTCTCGTGCGAAATGCTTGTTTTAAAGACTTGACACATGCGTTTTGGAGGAGTCTCGTACGAAACGCTCGTTTTGCAGACTTGAAGTGTGACTTTTGGAAGAAGTCTCGAACGATTGCAGACTTGAAGTTGAAGTGTGAGATTTTGAGGAAGTCTCGCGCGAAACGCTCCCCAAATTGACGAGTGAATTTTAGAAGAAGTCTCGTACAAAATGCTCGTTTTGCAGACTTAGACTTGACGTGTGACTTTTGGGGGAAGTCTCGAACGAAACGCTCGTTCTGGAGACAGTTGACTGTTGGAGGCTTTGGTAGTAGTGCCCCACAAGAGTGTGCCACAAGAGTGTCCTACAAGAGTGTCCCACAAGAGTGCCTCGCAAGAGTGTCCCACAAGAATTGCCGTGCAAGAGTGTCCTGCAAGAGTGTCCCACAAGAGTGTCTTACAAGAGTCTTCCGCAAGAGTGTCCCACAAGAGTGTCCCGCAAGAGTGTCCTACAAGAGTGCCCTGCAAGAGTCCTACAAGAGTGTCCCACAAGAGTGTCCGACAAGAGTGTCCCACAAGAGCGTCCTACAAGAGTGTCCCGCAAGAGTGCCCTACAAGAGTGTTCCACAAGAGTGTCCCACAAGAGTGTTTCCTACGAGAGTGTCCCACAAGAGTGCCCTACAAGAGTGTCCCACGAGAGTGCACCACAAGAGAGTCCTACAGGAGTGCTCCGCAAGAGTGACGCACAAGAGTGTTCTACGAGAGTGTCCCACAAGAGTGACATACAAGAGTGTCCCACAAGAGTCCTACCAGAGGTTCCCGCAAGAGTCTCCTACAAGTGTGTCTCACAAGAGTGTCCGACAAGAGTGTCCTACAAGAGTGTCCCACAAGAGTGTCCCACAAGGGTGTTCCGCAAGAGTGTTCCCACAAAAGTGTCCTCGGAAGAGTGGCCGACAAGAGTGTCCCACAAGAGTGGCTGACAAGCGTATCCTACAAGAGTGTCCCACAAGAGTGGCCCACAAGATTGTCCCACAAGACTTTTCCACAAGACTTGTCCGCAACAGTGTTCGACAAGAGGGCCCACAAAATTTTCGACAAGAGTGTCCCACAAGAGATCACAAGAGTGTCCTACAAGGCTCACATAAGAGTGTTCTATAGAAGTGTCCTACAAGACTGTCCCACAACAGTATCCCGTAAGAATTCCCGAGAAGAGTGTCCTACAAGAGTGTCCCGCAAGAGTGTCCTACAAGAGTGTCCCACAAGAGTGTCCTACAAGAGTGTCCCAAAAGAGTGCGTCGCAAGAGTGTCCCACAAGAATGCCGTGCAAGAGTGTCCTGCAAGAGTGTCCCACAAGAGTGTCTTACAAGAGTCTTCCGCAAGAGTGTCCCACAAGAGTGTCCCGCAAGAGTGTCCTACAAGAGTGCCCCGCAAGAGTCCTACAAGAGTGTCCCACAAGAGTGTCCGACAAGAGTGTCCCACAAGAGCGTCCTACAAGAGTGTCCCGCAAGAGTGCCCTACAAGAGTGTTCCACAAGAGTGTCCCACAAAAGTGTTTCCTACGAGAGTGTCCCACAAGAGTGCCCTACAAGAGTGTCCCACGACAGTGCGCC